GCCAGGGCAGAGAGAGGCTTTGGTAACCTCCTGCTGCCGGATCAGGAGCGGCTCAGGCAAGGCAGAGTAGTGGCTATTTCCAGCCCAACCACCGAGGGTTCTGGAAAGGCTCTCTGCAGGAATCTGTTACACTGGCGTGAAGCTGCTAAGGAAAAGCCCGGCTCTGACCATGGAACTCCCCAGTACAACCTTCCTCCTCTGCCTTACATTGATGAAACTGGTGGTATAGAGCTACAAAACCACCAGCTGTCTGTTAAATCCCTCTGAACAGTGATCAACTGCAGAACCAAAAAGCACAAGATAGTCAGAATAAGCTGCTTGAGAACGGCAGCGTGTTAGCTCTAGCCCCGCAGGACACCAATGCCTTATTACGGAACAGCTTCGCTTTCTCCACTCTGACCGGCGCTAGAGCTCTGCCGACAGCCCGGCTCGCGGGTGGTTTGCGTGGCAGGACACCAGGTCAGCGCCCGAGCAGGAGCCCTTCCAGTACAGCAAGGGGAAAAAAGGACAAAACCGTTTTTTACCACAGATAAAAGGCCAGGCCGGATGTGGCTTTGAGCAACCTGGTCTAGTGGAAGGTGTCCCTGCGCATGGCAGAGGGGTTGGAACTAGATGATCTTTAAGGTCCCTTCCAACCTAAACCATTCTATGATTCTACAAAAGAGAAAGATTCCACCTCAGTAACTGCTGTGCCAGCTCCAGCTGCCCCGCGTTCCTCCGCAGAGCTCCATGGTGAGGGCAGCAGGATCCACACGCTGCGCCTGGGCAGAGGGCACTGACACGAGCACAGGGACCGACCGAAACCTCATCCCTGCACCAGCCACGCGACACCCCGCAGCTGTCAGCACGACCCCTTACGTGAGAGAACTCCGGCTGTGATGGCGCAGGGAAAGATCCAGGAGAGAAGGTTGGGGCACTCTGGGACACTGGAGTTGAAGCCTGTGGCAGGACAAGGGGTCCTGCTGGGATACCCGGGATGGCCACCTCCACCAGCGGAGCTCTGCTCTGCCGCAGCTCTCCCCCTTCTGCAGGGCCGGACACTTCCATCGGCTCCCCCCCGGTGGGCGGACCGGAAAAAAACCCAGCACATTCCTTCTCCGGGCCTGAAGTTCCCAACATCCCAATGGAAGACAGCAGTCGCGCACCGTCACACACTCGAACGGGCACACCAGCGTCTTCTCTCCAGGTGCTTTTTTGGGGAGGAGGAGGGTAATCAACACACACATCCATATGCTTAAATTTAAGGGGGGGAAGAAAGTGTTTTGTTAAGAATTCATAGAACTATTTTGCTACAGGTCTGGAACTACACCTGGGAAAAGGTGTCTGAATCCGTAAGGAGCATTCCTCCGGCAGTTTTTCCTTTTGGCATCTTTATTAAAATGCAACTGAATTCCGACCCTGGCTGATAAAGTCTCTGTTCCAGATGTATTTCAGGCCCAGTGACAGGAATCCCACAGGAAGGAACGGTGACCTAGTACCACGCGGCAGGTCAGCGCGGGCAGATCGTCCTGTCCCTCACGGCACACGGGTGCTTTGGGAAACGGTTTAAGCAGCCAAGTGTCGGGGAACATCCACCCGTGGCGTGGTGTCCTAGGAAACACCCCACACACAGCCACTTTGCCAAATACCGTGCAAACCATCCAGGCAGGGGCCAAGCAACCGCACGACGCAGTCCTCCCCTTCGCCCTAACAGCGCGTGCTGAACACACGTTCTGCTGTAGCAATGAGGTGTCCCTAAGAAGGGAGCACAACTGCGGGCAGCGATCTGTGTCCCATAAGGAGTACTGCCCATCTTTCAAGTGAAGAGCCAGCCCACAGTGCTGATCTCATTATGACAGCCGCGCAGGAGACCGACAGCACATCAGCATCCCGGTCCCACACACAGGTCTCTCCATCTGCCTCTCTCGGTGCTCTCAATCCTGCCTTACTCTCCCAATACCATTTCGGCAGGTTCCGGCAAGGCCGCACGCCCGGACTTAGCCGCAGAGCACAGAAACAACCACAGAGCAGCATGCAGAGAACAGTACCTTTTGCTGCCTCCTGTTCGGTGGGGCTGCTGGGGACAAGAGCACCGGCTTCAAAGGCAACAGAAGGAGGAATAACGAGGCCTGAAGAGACACTGCAGACCAGTAAAAGGGAACATGGAAAAGAAGACCATACGTCACTAGAAAATCCCTTACCTTCTCCCCAAACGTAGCTCCAGCCTGTCACGATAATGCTCTCCTAAGAGCAGCATCAGGCATTCACCAGCAGGAGTCTGGAGAAATGGCCACTGACCACGTGGGCATCGCCACAAACCACAGCCGTGCTCCTTCCACAGAGCAAATTTAACGCCCTCGTGGCTTACCACCCAGCCCAGCCCTTAAATAAAGGAGAGCAGTCGAGATGCACCATCGCAACTAAGCTACTGCAAGAGTTTGGGGATGCTTTGCTTACGTGGAGCGACTCTCTTGTGCGAGGGGTCCCTGTCCGGAGAGCTGCAGCAGTTGCAGACTGCGGGCCGGGGTGCACGCCAGAGACGTTTCCTCCTCTGCCCTGGTTAGCGGGCAGGTGTGGAACCAAAGGAAAGGTGGTGAGAAACGTGGCCAACAACCAAGCTGATCAGAAGACTCTGAGGGGTGATGCTGACGCCGCTGCAGCTGCTGCTCAGGTCAGCGAGGACCAGCTGAGGCGTGCAGAGCTGGAGGAGGACCGACCGCCCGCGCACGGAGGTCCAGGGTGTGACACGTGGGCGTAGCACAGTGATGGTGATACAGGTGAGTTTGTACCTATGAACAGGTTTTTATCAGGCCAGACTGTACAAGCCTTCCCACTTCGCAAGTTTAGAAGCGGCATCCCCAGTGGCTCCAGTATCTGCACACCCGGTCCAGCAGCTGCGAACACAGACCAGGCTCCTACGAGACCCTCTGCACTGACTCCGTGAGAGCAGGAGGTTGTTATCGAGCCTCTGGACACCGAGGGTTCGCGCACAAGGCCGTACTGATACGCACCCGCTGTGCGTGACTTACAACTAAACAAAACAACGTGAACCCGACTGAGCTCCTGCTTTAGCCACAGCCACAGAGCTGCCTTTCCCAGCTTCTGCTTCTAGGCCTCTCACTGCTGTTAGGAATGTTTCCGTTTCTTTATCAGCCTTTTGGTTGGGGATGAAAAAGCAGGCATCACGGAATGGTTTGGATGGGAAGGGACCTTAAAGCCCCCCCAGCCCCACCCCCTGCCATGGGCAGGGACACCTTCCATAGCCCAGGGTGCTCCAAGCCTCATCCAGCCTGGCCTTGGACGCTCCCAGGGATGGGGCATCCCCAGCTTCTCCGGGAACCTGTCCCAGTGCTCCCACCCTCTGCGAGAAGAATTCCTTCCTGATGTCCCATCTCCATCTCCCTCTTTCTGTTTAAACCCGTTACCCCTTGTCCTGTCACTCCCTGCCCTTGGGAAAAGCCCCCCCCAGCTTTCTTGCAGCCCCCCAGGCACTGGAAGGGGCTCCAAGGTCTCCCCGGAGCTTCCGTTCTCCAGGCTGAACCCCCCAACTCTCCCAGCCTGTCCCCATGGCAGAGGGGCTCCAGCCCTCGGAGCATCTCCGGGGTGTCCTCTTGCCTCGCTCCAGAAGCTCCGTGTCCTTCTGCTGCTGGGGGCCCCAGAGTTGGAGGCAGAACTGCTTGGGGGGGGGGGGTCTCC